GCCTAGCAGGCTTCACAGTCAAAATATGCGGTTTACATGAGGTGGTTCCTTCTTCACCACCTCCAATTTTCATACCAGAAAGGGATTCAATAATGGAATCCACTCCAAGGGAGTTGACACCTGCAGGCTTCATCGCAAAGTGCAGGTAGCAAAAGCCTTTCACTCCCCTCCAGGTGATGTCAAAAGGCTTGACACCCCTTTCTGCCAAAGCAGACTTAATGTCACGCACTCTATCCGTCTTCGCGATGTTGCCCACCTTGACGCTAAATTCGATCTGCGGCTTTGTTCTACGCGTGCGCCTCTTTCGCAAATTATTGCGTCTGGATTGACCATTTTCATTAGATACGTCCAATACGTCCAATACGTCGTTCTCCTCCTTCTCAGAGACACGGCGTCGTCTCAATCTACGGCCATTTCGTCTATGCTCTGATGCATCACCATCACCCTCATTTGGCTCGGATTCGCTATTCTTTGCTAACTTACGGGGTCTCCTTCTCTGTTGAAGTTTATTAGGGACTCTCACTTTCTCCACGCTTTCATTGTCAGTGTCTACCTCTTTTAACACGATCTGCTTTCCAGCGCTAAGATAAAAAATAATATACTTTGATGTATGTAAATAATATACCTTGATGCCGATATAATGATGTAAACTAATTATATATAAACACATGTATTCTAGCAAGCATTCAATGATTTTAAATACGCTATTAAATACTTACGCTTCTTCCTCTTCTTTGATTTTTTTCAAGACATTTACAGTGTTTAAACGCCTTTCGGAGATCAAATTCCACATTATGTGAGTTGGCCGTGGTGGTCGTCCCGAGACCATGATTGTCTCAGTAGGTGTTATTATAATGTCAACGGGCACATCGTGAGCACCAAATAATGTGCTGGGCATATCGTCCTTCACCTGGCAGTCATGCACCAACGTGATAATAAGAGCATTCTGGTTTAGGGCTTTGGCATGCTGCACAATGGCAAATTCAAGATCTGTGTATCCGCGACCCTTACCAATTCGCAAGCCATTGCGAGACACTGCCACTGATCCAATGATCAGTAAGTCAATGTTAATATCAGAGTTTAAATCAACAGTTGGAGCTTCATTTAATCCTTTACGAGTAATTGCACGGCGGACATGGTACTTGGAGTTGTTTTCAGGCATTACAATTTGGTTAGTAACCCAGATTGTAGTCGAGGGACAGGGACTACTAATTGCTTACCTTCCTCAACGCAGTATTCTAACACATTCCATTGGCTTATCTGGATTTACTAAAACGGTCTTTGCTTGTTTGAAAAACATCTAGTTCACTTAATCTCTGTGCGGCATCATAGGCTCCCTTGAAGTTTGGAATCCTATTAAAAGCTGGACGTGGGAACAGTGAAAGCCGGTTCTCATCCAAGTATTTCCAGACACCTCTACGGATTACTTGCTTCGTCACCCCAGCTTCAGCTTCCTTTGCTTCCTCTGTAAAATCCATTCTAGATTTGTCCATTCTAATAATCGTTAAATTTCAATCAAGAAATACTATCACAAAAATTCGATTGCGTTTACAAAACAACTCGACGAGATTTGATTTTATTTTGTTTGACGAAAAAGTCATCACTACTAGACTAGCATTTTTTTAATAAAAAAAAAAAATGCTTTCAAAATTCTAAATTGATAAATGACTTGTTT